AAAATCGAAGGAATATGGTACGCGGGTGACGAGTCACATATACTCCCTCCGTTTTTAAATATTTGACGCCGTTGACTTTTTTAAACATATTTGATCGTTTGTCTTATTTAAAAAATTTAAGTCATTATTAATTCTTTTCGTATCATTTGATTTATTGTTAAATATATTTTTATGTAGACATATACATTTACATATTTCACAAAAGTTTTTTATTAAGACGAACGGTCATATGTGTGCTTAAAAAGTCAACGGTGTCAAATATTTTGAAAGGGAGGGAGTATATGATGCCAACAACTGTAGGATTCCTAAGATGATTTGTAGTAAAACAAACCCCTCATTTTTTTTCCAGGATAAAGATAATTAACTAAATGATGAGTAATGAGTAGTGGGCGTGCGTTAACGTTACGTGTGATGACCGTGGAGTTCATACCGAGTGACCTCAAGTACTAGTCGTCAGTTGGTTATGTCGCACGTACGTGTACATCAAGTACGATTTCGTCCTCCTGCTGGTTGTGACTGAAATTAACAAGCTAGCAAAACTGAAAAATGCAAATTACAATTGCCTGCTGGAACTTAATTACACGCATACTTATGCGGCCCTCTTTTGACCCTACGGGTTTGAAATCTTGGCGTCGGTACTGTACTGAATGATGATGTTGGTTGTGGTTAGGGCACCCACAATGGTTATCTATAAGCTCTCTACAAGAGATCCATGTCAGCATATTTTCCTACTTGGAAGAGATTAAATGAAGAGAGAGAGCAAAGCTATCTACTAACATGGAGATAGTCTGTAGAGAAAAACGAGGCAATGGATTAGAGAGCTATAGATACCCATGTAGACATACCATTGAAGTGGTTTACTATTAATCTAGTCTATTGTTGAGGTGTACATGTTTTATAGATAGCACCTTACTTTACCATTGCGGGTGCTCTTAGCTAGTGTTTATTAGCGTACGTCTATACGTGGAGACCGGGAGGAGTAATTTGATCCATCCAGCTGAGATCTCTGTCTGAATCAAGATTAATTGTTTTTTCAGTCTGTTGTTTTTTCCCAGACAAACATAGTGAAGATAGAGACACGACGGTCGTCTCGTCTCCCCCCCCCCCCCCCCCAGCTAGCTGCTTGCTGTATTTGGTTAATTTTATAATGGAATGATCAAAACAATTAGGACAAATATATGTAATGGTGTCGGGATGTTGGCGTGCAATGGCACAGCAAGTGGTGGAATATTTTGACCTCCGCACGCGTACGAAGTACTCTCTCCTTTCAAAATAGACACCGTGTTTGACCATTCGTCTTATTAAAAAAATTAAGTAATTATTTATTCTTTTCATATCATTTGATTCATTATTAAATATACTTTCATATACACATAAAGTTTTACATATTTCATAATTTTTTTAATAAGACGAACGGTTAAACATGTACTAAAAAGTTAACGGTGTCAAACATTTTGAAACGGAGGGAGTATAGTAGTAGAACCTCGTTTGACAAACCGTTTCGACCGGTGCATCGTGCAAGTGAGAGTTAATTTCGGATATATATACTCCATCCGTCCTAAAATGTAAGCATTTTTAGCTATGAATCTGGACAACTGTGTGTTCAGATTCATAGCTAAAAGTTGCTATATTTTAAGACGGAGGTAGTATCCATCACACAGTGCTCCGCCTTAAGCCTTTTATTATCTCCTTGGCGTGAAGAGAGATTCTTGTTACATGGATTAATCGGATCAATCGTAATCGTAGAAGGTAGAACATATTACATATCTCATCTCTCATATGGATTTATAAACGCTTGTCTCTATCCTCGGTAGTTCTGGTGTCTTCTCAAGTTGACGTGAAAGTATGCCTGATCGGAAATTTAAGTCCTAAGTTTTATCTTTCTGTAAACTCGTTGAACCCTGTTTTGGCTTTGATACTAATGAAAGCTGGATCGACATATATATATGTACACACACACTCTCGACATTCTTATCTAAATCTATTATATTATTAAAACAGTCTTCAAATGGGCTCACCACATTCACTCTATAAATAAATACTAAAAGCAATATAACATTAATCGAAAAAAATAATCTAATCCATCAGATGAAGTGGGGCCAAATTATAACAGTATAGGTATAGATTGATAGTTCAGGTTGTATACAAGTTATAATTGTATGTATAAAAACAGAAGAAAAGAGATTTATATCAGTCCAATCCTAATTTTTATATCTATATATACATAATATAATTGTGTATATGAAAATAAAAAGTTAGAACTGCACATATTAAATCCAATTCAACGAGACCATCCAAAATTGCACGGGAAATCCTCCATTGATATCACACGATCAAATTAATGTCAAAAGTTAGGTAAATTGATCGGTACCTTGAAGTGGCCCTGACTTAATTGGGAAAACCTGAGTCTAATTAAGCTAGTTTCAACATGATACTATCGTATTATAATTATTTGAAGCCAAAGCTTGCTTTACAGGCTAGCTTAGCACATACATGCATGTGCCTACGGGTAATTAAGACAAATTCTTGTGACGCTAATTAATAAATATTAATTGTATCTGTTGCGCGTGCAAACCCTTCGAGCGGATAACTAAATTATATGCAGCGTTCTTGACGGAGTAACGAGGGTATGGGTCTTGTTTAGGACCAACATACGATTATATTTAAACAAGTTTAGTTAATAAGACAAACGACTCAGCCCGGTTTACACAGAAACGTGGATTTTTATTTTCTTTTGGACGCCCGGAGAGCTTTCTAAAGCCGGTCTCCACACAGATGTGTTCACGTGACGACGCTCTTCTAAATATTCCTCCGTTGAAATGGAGACGAATAGGCTTTTGTCCTTTGTGACTAATATATCATTCAAGATAGCATTGCTGCTCTCTTTTGACTTAATTTGCCAGTTGCGGTTCATACTTTCAGATGTCCGCACTACTTAAAAATTAAACTATAGAAGTTATAAACAACTCTGCTTATAATTATAAAGAGATGTCCTGTAGATCCAAAACAGCTGTAATATTAATTTCTGTATCTATTATATTGAAAAAATCATCCTGTGAAAATAGTGGTATTTTCAAAGGCACCTAGCTCAAGAGATTGTTTTTTTAAGAAACATTGTACAAACGCAAACGCTCGGATAAGCGACATGCAAATGCTGTGCAGCTCCCGGCACTCCCACTCACCATCGCCGCTCTCGAGCCCACCGCTGCTAGCAGATGAGGGAGGATAAGGAAAAATGAGGTATGAGTGGAGAGGATAAGGGGAGTGATCCAGGAGGAGTGCATAAGAATTTTTTAAAAAATACATTTTCGTGTTCAGATTTTTTTAAGGAGTTGTATGTGAAAATAAAGGTCGATTTTTTACATACACAACCGGTTATAGTCCGCCTGTAATATACATGTATTTTCCTACAGAAAAAATGTTTATGTAGTAGTGCCTCTCAATAGGCCACCGCCACCATCAACTGTCGTACTATTGCCAAACGGTGCTACCACCATTCATGTCCATAGCCACACCGTCACCGCCACGAGCTCGATCGGGGCGTCAGTATTTAGATGACGAGGAGCAGAATGATGGCGGTGAGCCTCGGTACTAATAGATCAGGTAGCGACAAGCCTCGGTGGTGAGGTCGGGCTTTGTCTTTGCGACGACAGCGGTGAGGGCTTCATCTTGACGATAGTAAAAACAACTATGGGAAAAGCTGCTGCTCGCAGATTTACTGCGTCGACAACGTTGGCCTGGGGATGGCTCCACCAACCATGAAGGTCCTGGTCGGCAAACGCAGATGATATTGAGCTTTCTTTATATAATGAAATGGATAACATCTCTGGTCTCTGTCCATGGGCACACAGCTAAAAAGTCTCAGAAGTGAGCATAAAAGAACCTAAAAAAAGGTGTGAGATGGGACAAACCCCCAACTTCTACCAATAAGATGACCTACTAAAAAATGTTTCCAAAATTACATAGACTATCACAAAATTCCGTATGTACTACGTCATCCAAACTGAAATAAAAGTTCTTTGGCTAACTTCTGCCAATAAGATGATCTACTAAAATAATGTTTCCAAAATCACATAAACTCTATCACAAAATTATGTACGTACTATGTCATCGATCCAAACTGAAATAAAAGTTCTTTGGTTACCAATTCCAAGCGTGCAGCACCATTGCGCATAGTATTCTGTTGTTCCTGTGAAAGCATCATACACCAAGAGTGTAGCCAATTGGAACACATAAAGATAACATTCATGATGTTAGCCATTTTTTTATGGTTAAAAACTATATCATTACTGCAACACCAGATTGACCAACATATAGCATTAGCTCCAAATAAAATCTTTTTTTGGTGGGTCTAGGCACTCCCCTTAGCAAGTTACCAATAATATCTTTTGCATTGTAAGGAGGTGGGATATTGAAGGCAAAGAAGACACATCGTCAAGCAAAACGTGGAACATGACAGTCAAAGAAAGAGATGTTGGATGGTCTCTTGTGTATTAAAAAACAACATTGCTTGTTTCCCCTCCATTTTCTCTTTATAAGGTTATCTTTCGTTAAGATTATTTTTTTAAGGAACCACATAAATACTTTAATTTTAGTGGTACCTTTACCTCCCATTAGACTATTCTCTTGCGGATCTTACATTGGAGTTAATGATATATATTGAGCTGAGCATGTGTTTGTGCGCAAAATCGTGCCCTTTTGAGTTGAGTTGTTCCTCTATTGTTTTGCTGTAGAAAGTATATTCAGTGCTCTGAACATTTCATCAGGTAGCTTCTCCAAAATGCAGGTTACAAATTAATTTAGATCCATATGTTTAGGATGGCTTCGATTACGATAACACTCCCCATTTCATATTATAACCATTTCGATCTTATATACATGAACCATTATTTGATGTTGTCGGTGTGTGTATTGTACCATTATTCGAGACGTTCGGCACTAGCTACTAGAATTCCGAATTTAGGTTGATGATGCACATACAATAATGCAGCACATCCACGTTGAGAATGGAGAAAACTAAGAGGACTGAAATAATGCAGGAATTACATATCATCCAAGTGCCATACCTTATTTAAATGTGAGAAATTAAGCTTCTATCGATGCAAGGTAGTATGAGGCATTAATTAACAAAGTATTAATTTGTTTTAGGCGCGCCAGTGGGCCACTAATATCCTTAGATGATAGACGCGATCGAGATTGGTACTTATATAGTATATATGAGCAGCACAAGCTTTATTTTAGTAGTATATATTGTGCTGCATCGAGCTCACAGTAGCGTATGTATACTAGTTGTGAGGCTTAATTGACGGGGGGCCGCAAGCACGGATCCTCCTGGGTAAGTTGGGATCGTTGCTGCAGCGTGAGCCTCTCGCATCTGCAGCTGCACATCCTGTAGCAGCAGCAACCGCAATCAGCAGCAGCACGATCAGAAGGGGCGCCATGCTTCCGCTCTTCTTCTTCTTCCTCTGGTCCGCCGCAAGATCAGCTAACACGATGATGATCATGGTCACCAGCTGGGCGGTGACGCCGGCGGCGGCGGCGAGGAGTCATCAGAACGTGTCCCATGAAGGATTCTTGTGGAGGATGCGGACGGCATGGAACAGTTGAAATTAACAGGCTGCAAAAGAATCAGCGTCAACATGTATTGATATAGGTCAGCTTAATTAATTTGGGCTTGTGTCTTTAAAAAGGAGAAAATGACAAAGCCTGTATGGATAGGATTTATATTTTATAGGCTAATTATTAAGCTCTAGTCAACACTAGATAGAAAATGCGGCTCGATCTGTCACAGGATCGATGCGCGCACGTGTTCTTGCACTCATTTTTCTAGCTTCCTCTCGTTTCGTGGTATCTTTTGCTGTATGTAAAAGATATATATTTATACATGCGTAGAATGGTCAGATTTTATATATATATATGTTACTGCTTAAACATAGTGAACTTGACCTTTTCATCAGTTTATATGTAGCTGGAATTAATGATATTCAAAGTACATGTACACATTTTTTATGTTATTTGTTGGTTGGTATTATGGTATACATATGTACGGTTATTAGCATATCGCCGAAACTTGTGCACACATGCATACGTTCCCCCCAAGCAAAATGAACTGAGGATGGAAACGTTTCCTATATAAAAACCCTAGCTAGTTATAGGAGGTCCTCCTCAAAGCTCTCTTCGACCAAATTAACAAACACATGAGATATGAGGGCTATACCTGATGGTGCTGTGACTCCGAGCCAGCTGAGACAAAGGTCGGAACGACGCCGGCCGTCGACGGGTGCACGCGGCGACAGTCGTTGTGCATGAGAGTAGCAGCATCGGTACGCACAAGCACCGGCCACACACTAGTCAAGCCGGCGTCGTCGTCGTCGCCATCCAACGGGCACACATACGGTAATAAGAAGCACACAAAGGCGAGAGACAGTAGTGCAGTGAAGCAGCAAAGGGTACTGATCAGTGCTGGGTTTGATCGACGAGCCATGGTGGCTAACTGACCGACCAGCTCTATTGCAGTACGGCTATGTCCTGTCTGCACTCTGGAGATCACTTGGAGAGGGATGAGGAGCCGAGGAGGACGTTGCCCCTATTTATAGGCCTGGTGTAGAGTACTTCCTTCGTTCTAAAATAAGTGCAGTTTTGCATTGTCCAACGTTTGACTGTTTGTCTTATTTAAATTTTTTTATGATTATTATTTTTTTATTAGATGGTAAAACATTAATAATACTTTATATGTGACTATTTTTTTAAAAAAAATTGATAAATTTTCAAATAAGATAAACGGTCAAAAATTAGACATGGATATCCACGGTTGCACTTATTTTGGGACGGAGGTAGTAAGTTAATTTGTGAGTTTTGTATCCAACATTTGACTATCCATCTTATTTGAAAAATTTATAAAAAAAAGTCACTCATAAAGTACTATTCAAGTTTTATCATCTAACAACAATAAAAATACTAATCATAAAAAAAATTTAAATAAGACGGACAATCAAGTTTTGGATACAGAAACCTATAAATGAACTTATTTTCAGATGGAGGAGTACCATTTATTCTAGTTAAGCTCCTTGTGTGACGTACTATCCTCAAGAAAAATTAAGTCGGTGGTTTGATATAGAGGTCTTGACTTGGTTTGTTTGCAAGGGAATAAGACAATAGTGATTAGTGGATAAACACAACAATAATATGCACGCGGCTTTACCATATTTTTGAATTGATGCAGCAAATAAAAAGGTGGACTATAGTTTCAGCGAAGACAGGATGCATGCATGCTTTTCAATCTGCAAGTCTCCCTTTCCAATTGTCACTCAAAAACTAGACTTAAAAAATAGTTACTTCCTCCGTCCTAAAATATAACAACTTTTAACACTTAGGATTTGTTCCAAAATATAACAACTTCTCTCTCAATATTCTATTCACAACCAATCACAATCCTCCACCATTCACTATTCCCACCTACCTCCACTTCTTAACCAATCACAACCCCTTTCTATTTAATTCTACATACTTTCTTAATAACCGTGTCCAACTCCAAAACTCCCTATATTCTGGGACGGAGGGAGTACTTATTATATAATTTTCACAATAAGTTAAATCCTAAAATCATGACAGCTAAGCGTGAGGTAATAATCTAACCTTTCCACAGGCCCTGGGTTGGGCGGTTAGAAATACATATCCTATTTCACCCCCAGGCGCGGGTATGAATAGTACTACATATCACTCATCTCGTATCCTATTCTCTATTTATATAGTTTTTCCTCAGAATTGGATTCAGAAACGGATATTTATTTGTATATCTAATTCATAAATATTAAATCTAGGGAGGCAATTTTAGTGTTAAAAAATACATCAAGTAAAAATTTATGCAATATTACTTGTGAGCTCGTAAAACAGTGATTAATCAATCTTTTATTATGTTTGTAGATTAATTTCATAGTATTTTTCATATATGTTTGATAATACTCCCTCCATTCTATAATATAATGTACAACCATTTTTTTAAGATGTTCCATAATATAATACATGAATGCATACATGCAATTAATTATGACATCTTCTCCATTAAATTATTACTTTTTTAAATCCTTCACTCTCACATTCTCTAATTCTATTGGATGCATGCAATACATATTTATTAAAGGATCCAAACTATAAGATAATAATAATTATTTCTTAGTCTTTGGGTTAAAGATGGTTGTGTCTTATATTTTGGAATGGAGGGAGTATAGGACATAGAGAAGGATATAATTTTTTCGGTATCCTAACCTTTTTTTTTCAGATTTAAATTCGAACTAGGATTCCGGATATCCATTTTTCTCTCCTACCCGCGCCATTTTCGAATTTGAAGAAAATATGGGCTATAAATACGAGAATACGTATCCAACCCGATTTCAACCACAGTGACAAGTCGATAGTGCATGAAATGGAATTTGTATTTGACTCATCTAAAGTCATCGACTCAAAGTAAGCAATAAAGAGCAATATAGTCATCTAGGTGTGCAAGGGTGTAACGTGACAGTCATGTCCATTGCATGCATATGGCCATATATATATATATGGGTACGTGGAGGTAGCGAGTCTGGCGATACATTGTGCAATTAGTTGAGCTAACAAGTACATGCATGCATTGCATGATGTGAGTTAGTATCTATACTACATAACAGGCCCGCTGCATATATACAGGTGTGGAGTCATATACAGATGAGAGGAACACATAAATGACTGGAGAGAATCATGACTTAAGTCTTCAATTCGTTCAGTATAAAATACTTTGTGTGATCACCTAATCCTTTGGCTTTACCATTAATAGTCCACCGATCAAGCGCGTATACATGATAAGGTAAACCAAAATTGAGTCATTGTCAGTCGCGATCAAACCAGCCATAATAATCCAGTCACACTATAAAAAAACAATTTTTGCGACCAAGCTATTATTTTTCGTTGGCGAAGTAAAAAAAAATCCGTCTGTAAACAGATTAGAAAGAGACCCACCTATCCATTTTACATTAGCCATCCCCTCTCCTTTACCCATTAATTAAGTCTTTCCTCATTCATCCCCTACTCCCCATCTCATCATTCCTCTTCTCCCCTGTCTCCTCTTCTCTCCTTCATCACGAACGTGCAAGCGAGCCTGTGGCTAGCGTGGCGACGGGAATGGCGGTCTCCGCAAGTGGTTAGCGGACGGCAAGAGGGCGGCAGTTTGCCTTCAAAGGAGCACGCGAAGATTACAATGATGCTAGCAAACCGCGCGGCAACAGATCAATCGAGTCGATGTAGGGTTTAGTGGGCCTCAGCAGCAGCGACGATGACAAAGGCAAGCCGCGCAACTGCTAATCCGGTGGCCCTAGAGCCAAGAGGGGTGGATCCCGCCGCCCATTGGCCTCGGGTGCAGCGGGCCTCAATGCCAGCGACGATCACAACAGCGGCAAGCCACGCGGTGGTGGATCCAGTGGAGGCTTCTAATGGGCGATCGATCGCCCTGGCAATGGGGGTAGCGATCAGATTCGCCCCCCCCCCCTCCCTCCACCTAGTTTTCTTTTTTGGCACTGCATTACTTTCTTATTTTAGTAAATTTATACACCTAAAGTTTATACACCTCAAATTTACACATCTAAAGTTTAGAGACCAAAAGTTTATAAGTCAAAAGTTTATATATCTGATTCAAATTTGAATTTGATATTTTTTATATATAGTATTTCTATACATCTAAATTTTATACACCTAAAGTTTATGGACCTAAGTTTATAAGTCAAAAGTTTACATACCCGATTCAAATTTGAATTTGAATTATATCTGATTCAAATTTGAATTTGAATTCAAATATTTTCTATATATAGTATTTCTATACATCTAAAGTTTATACACCTAAAGTTTATAGACCCAAAGTTTATAAGTCAAAAGTTTACATACCCGATTCAAATTTGAATTTGAATTCAAATTTTTTATATATAGTATTTCTATACATAAATTTTCTCTAACTTTTGTTTTTTTTTAAAAAAATTATGGTGTACTGTAGTAGAAAGAGAAGAAGGGGAGGAGGAAGGGGGAGAAGAGGGAGGAGTATAGGGGGGCTGATCGCGCGGGATTATGGGACTTCGATCTGATCGCGGTCCGATCCCGCACGTGATCGATAGATAAATATCCTTTCCGGGATCCGGTGGCCTCGACCCCGGGAGGCTAGGGCGGATCCACCGCCGCCAGCCTCAGGTGAGGACGTGAGGTGGAGTCTCAGCGATGACAACGACAACAACAGTGGACTCCGGCAGCGGCGACGATGACAACGGCAGTGGCGGACTGCATTGATGATGATTGTGACGGATTGCGGTAGTATAGATGGGAGCTAGGATTTTTTTTTTATTATTTTGTTTTGCACGCGGGTGGCTTAACTTGACCATTCGTGGAATCGATTTTCGTGCGTGGTTGTACCGTCCGTTTGAGAAAAATACCGATTTTGTAGATAGTGTGGTTCAGCCGTCTGACGAGGCAATACCAGGCGAGATATCGATCCGAACCAGTAGACGGTGTTTGGCCTCTTCGGGAGCAAGTCCTATGTCCATTGCCCGTTTATTTGGATCTATGTTCACGTGTACGCTAAAAATCGATAGACCAATTAAGTGCCGTTCCCTTGAAAAAAACAGACGACGCCGTCCTTCTAGATGATGGACGACAGGAACGAGCCCACAAAGCACGACAACGATCCTCGATCGACGAACAAACAGCCGGTTACTGTCATCGAAAATAAGCTACGCCCTCTCAATTTCAAAATATACTGTCACTATGGAGAAACCATCTTTACTCCCGGTTTATAACCCCCTGTAGTCCCGGTTACGATTCCAGGACCCCGGATGAAATAACCGGGAGTAAAAATCAATTTTTAGTCCCGGTTGGTAACACCAACCCGGACTAACTCTTTAGTCCCGGTTAATGCTACCAACCGGGACTAAAGAGAGGATAAGAGAGGATAGGGGCAGTCCCGGTTGGTCCATTTTCTTTTTATTATACCCAGATCAAACAACAAACCCCAAATCGAGTGTCATGCATATACCTAAATCAAACCCCAAATCCCCAAATCAAAGTAACATCACAAATCATTCACATCACAAATACAAATCCTAAGTTACTTACACACAAATCAAATACATCATAAATCTTAAAAAAATACACACAAATCAAATGCATCACAGATCGATTATACATCTCAGATCCATGCAATGAATCACAAATTCTAAAAAAGAAATTATACATCTCTCAATCACAAATTATAAAAAAAAAGAGGAGAACCGGCGCGCTGCCGCCCCGTGCGCGGCCCCGCCGCCCACGCCACGCGCTGTGCCTCGCCGCCCGGCCACCACATGAGGGCGCGTGAGGCTGCCTTCGCCTCCGCGCCGCCCGGCCGCGCGAGGCTGCCTCCGCGGCCGCCCGGCTGCCGCCACCACCTGAGAAGTGGGGAGGAGAGGGGAGGGGCAGATCCAAAGGAGGTAGAAGAAGAGATGGGGTGAGTGAGAAGAGGAGGAGATAAATGTCAAAACTTATTAACTGATCCTCCCGTGAGCTTCGGTCCTCTCGATCTCGCGCGGCGCATGTCGATCTTTTTTCCCGTTTGGTAACACCAACCCGAACTAAAAATATATCTTTAGTCCCGGTTGGCGTCACCAACCGGGACTAAAGATAAAGGAGGGGTCTGACACCACCTGCCGTCTTTTGAACCGGGACTAAAGATTTTCAGTCCCGGTTTTTAGTCGAACCGGGACTATTGTGGATTTAGGCCGATCGACCAAAGATAGTTTCTCCACCAGTGTGTACTATCGTTTTCGATGTTTTATAATATAAGACTTATATGTAAACATTTAATTAACTAGCGTATCCCTTCCTCCAGATTCGTTTTTGAAAATCCTTTACTGTCTAAATCTCAAAATACACCGAGTATATATATATCTACGGTAAAAATTACCTGTACGTTGCAACGAAAAAGAAAAAAAATAAAAGTACACAAAATATTAAATAACTTTAAAATGACATTATTTTTCATAACCTGGTGTTACATATGTTTTCTTTCCGTGTAGAAGCACCGCATATATGTTTTTTTCCATATATTTATAAATTATTTTATTACAGTAATAAAGAAATATTTATTCATATTTGTGGCTTAGAAATCAACACATTAATTGAAAGAAAAAATACACCGTTGATCATAGGGGATCTAGAAAAAGTTTTGGTCCATATTTAAATATAATGATGTAGATTTATCAAATATAAGCTCTATCTTTATAATTAGAATTAGATTTATCCAAGTCATGATCTCATACCGGCCAGCAAACCGAACTGTTTTCTTCGTGCCAACACAGATGGGATACAGCTGGGGTTTGGAAACATGAACACACAATAAATAAAAGATCATTTCAGCAATTATTTAATTGAAAAAAGGAATCAAAATCCTCACTTTCAGGTTTGGGCTGAATATGGAAAAGTCCAGACTCCTTCCCTTAGTCTCTTCTCTGTTTCCTGTTTCTTTCTCCGTTAAAGTCCAGTTTGCGTCCTCCTTCAATCGGGCCTAGGAAAAGAAGTCCCAGAATGTCGCTACAGTAACTTCTTCGAGCTCCAGCCGAGCTAGAGCCAGCCTACACCCGACGCCACCCTAATCCCGCGTCCGATTTAACCAAACCCGTGGAGATAATCTCAAATTAGTTGAGGGTTTTTGTTCTATATCTCCTACTCTATCTTTCCTCTCAAGAAATTAAAGGAAAACCGCCGTCAGAACTAGTTAGGGATTTTATCTGATTTTAACAGTTGAGGAAGACCTGTAACCGGTTTTGTGGTTCAGGGATACGAATCGATCTCGACGTGTAGTTGAGGGAGGCAAATACAGTTCTTCCTTTATTAAACTCATAAGCAGGATTCCTAGACATGGGCCTAATGGACAACTAACTATCTATGGGCTCGATCTCATGCAGTTTCTGCAAATAAGTCGGGCAGGAAAGGAATAAGTTCATCTTATGTCCCTTAACTTATTAACAAATCCGATCTTAGTCCTTCAACCGGAAAACCACATACAAGGGATCCCTCAACTGTCAAAACCGGTGCAAAATAAATTCTAGGACAGTTTGGACGGCAGTTTTAGCTGACGTGGCCCCTATGTGGCTAATTTGACTCGGTTTTCATCTGACGTGGCAATTCTGTGGCATATGAAGCAAAATTTAACAATTTTAAAAATAAAACAAAATACGTGGGCCCACGTGTCAGTATGGATGCAAGCGGCCAACCCGCGAATCTACTTATATGTTAAATAAAGAGTAATCTGCGGATTTTCGCGTCATGTCTCAGCTTGCGGTACTTGGGGGGAAAAGTGGACTTTTTCTTTCCACGAGTTGGTCTAAACAGAGAGGCTTATGGGCCCGCTATTTCAGAATAGGAAAAGTACACCGAAGGTCCCTCAACTTATCATCGAGTTACAAAATCATCCCCAAACCGCAAAACCAGATATCCGGCATCCCTTAACTAATCAAAACCGGTCACAATAGTTCATTCGGTGGTTTTGACCCCGATTTTGTCCTACGTGGCAGCGGAGTCAGCATGGGACCCACGTGGGCCCCACTTATCAGGCTGAGTCACTCTCCCCCTCTTCTCTTCCTCGGTTACTCATTTCGTTCTCCGTGTGCTTGAAAGCCTAAGGCCGGTCGGCGGGCCGAGGCGGGAGAGGAGGGCGGCGCCGCGACGGCGGCCGGCGGCGGCAACCCGGCCGAGCTCCTCGGCGGCCGTGCGAGGGCCGCGACGCCAGTGGGGGAGGCCTTGGAGTTGGGCGGCGGCAGAGGCACGGGGAGGAGGAGACAGGTAGCAACCAGCGGAGGGGCGGCGCCGTGCAGTGGGGTGGCGGATGGGAAAGCGGCGCGACGTGGTGGATAGGGAAACGGTGCGACGAGGATGGCAACGGGCGAGCAGGAGCGGCAAGGCGGCGGTGTCCACCTCTCCATTCTCTACCTCTATTACCTCCGAGTCTTCACCTGCGAGGAGGCAGCGGCACGCGGCGGCCTATGGAAGAGGAGCGGCGCGCAGCGGCTCGCGGGAGAGGAGCGGCGTGCCGCGGCCAATCTCCCGGTCTCCTCCTCCTCCTCCGCCACCGTATGGATCTCGCCGCTCAGCTGCCGGATTTGCACGGCCGCGGCGATGGTCCTCTCGCCGCTGGGCACAGCTCGCCGCTGAGATCTGTGGGGCTATGGAGCTCGAGAAGGGGAGGCGGGAGAAACGGGAGGTGTTGGAGCCGCGGAAGGACTGGCAGAGCACCGTGGCGACGACGACAGCAGGCCACGGGCGGAGCGAAGGGGTGGGCGGAGCGGCAGCGGCGCCTGAGGTCGAGGCCGAGGACGTGTGGTGCGGGGTATAGTGGGAGGCGGCGTGGCCACGGCGGACGAAGCCGGTGGTGGTGGCCAAGGAGGAGCCCTACGGCATCGTCGTTTTCGGCGGCGGTGCATGTACGGCGAGGAGCGGGAACAATGGCGGCGGCGGCGGCACGCGTGGAGCTTGACCGACAAGTCGACGACAACCTGGAGGAGTTGAAGGGGTGCGTGGATCTCGGGTTCGAGTTCCGCTACGACGTAATCCCCGAGCTCTACGGTACTGCCCCCGTGCTCGAGCTCTGCTACTCCATGACACAGAGCTGTCGAAGTGGAGCACCAGCCGCGGGACGTCCACGGCCTCTGGCGCGGCCGCCGCGAAGCAGAGGCTAACACCGCTCGCTAGGGGCAGCCGAACGCGCTCGCACAGAGGCCGCCTCGGCATGCGCGAGCAAGAGGATTCGCGACCGTCGTTGGTGGAGTCGCAGCGGATGACGCCGGCGGCGCGTGGATGCTTCATCCCGAACCGGATGGCTACAGGTGCATCGGCGCGCAGTCGATGACATCGCCGTCGGGGCTGCCGCGTTGCCGTGTTTCCCGCTGCAGCCCCCACCACTGGGCGCCGGCCGCCATCGCCCTCCTCTCTCCCGCCTCTCCTGCTGGCCTCTGGCCCTGCACCCGCCGCTTTGCCTCTCCCCGAAAGAGAGAAGAGGAGAAAAAGGGAGGGTGATGACGTGGATTACCCTGACATGTGGGGTCCACGTGGGTCCCACGCTGACCCAGCAGCCACGTAGGACCAAACCGGTATCAAAACCGCTGAGGGATCTTTTGTAACCGGTTTTGATTAGTTAAGAGACGTGGGATATCTGGTTTTACGGTTTGAGGATGATTTTGTATCTTGATGACAAGTTGAGGGACCTCGGGTGTTCTTTTTCCTTCGGAATAAGAACGTAACGCACGTGCGGCCCATGGTCAGGTTGACACAGCCCAAACTCGTCTGCCCGATGCACACATCGGCTTAGTGGGCTTCATGTAATGGGCTAGGCTACCCTTGATACCCCGAAAGTCCTACCTCACGAGAGGACTGAGGACGAGGTGTCGCACGTGCTGCAGTCACCCCTGCATTTCATTCTCCGGGCATATCCCTTCGTTTCGTACAACAGATCGATTCGACGACGACCCATAAAAACAAGTACATTAAATTGTTTTGATTATGGACAAACAGAGCGCGCAATTCAAACACACGAGTACACAACTGCACTTTCTAATTTATTCGTGAAGCTCAAGCACATACATACAGGTGATAGGTAGGAGCAAAATCACAACGCGATAACCAAATACAGTAACAATAGATATAGATCATACGCTGCGATTGTTAACCAAACCAAATCTGGAATTCTCACTCTACTTGGCGCCAAACTTGGCCTTGAGGTAGAGCGCGAACTCGTACACCTTCTCAGGATCAGTAAGCGTCTTGGCGACGCTGTCCCTCCCCTTGCATCGTTCCCCCCACGCCACCAGCCGCGGGCAGATCTCCGCCACGGCGAATCCCGCGAGCCTCTCGTAGGCGTGGAACCACGCCACGAACGGCACGAGCACGACGTCGAGGTAGCCGAACGCCTCGCCGCCGAAGTAGTCCCCCTCCCCGAGCTCCGCCTCCAGCGTCCCCAGCGCCTCCGCCATGTCCCTCTTGGCCTGCTCGTGCGCGGCGTCGCCGGCCCTGAGCTTCCAGAGGCGTGTCTGGCAGTCGAACAGCTTCTTGTCGACGTAGTCCGCCCAGAACCTGGCACGCGCGCGGGCGTAGGGGTCGCTGGGGAGGAGACGCGGCGACTCCTTCTTCTTCTCCGGCTCCGGCGGCCATGTCTCGTCGATGTACTCGAGGATGACGAGGGACTCGCAGACGGGGCGGCCGGCGTGGAGGAGGACGGGGACCTTCTTGTGGACGGGGTTGGAGCGGAGGAGGAGGTCGCTCTTGTCGGCGAGGCTCTGCTCGCTGTACTCGTACTCCACGCCCTTCTCCGCAAGCGCGATCCGGCAACGCTGCCCGAACGGGCTCACCCACAAGTCCAGGAGCACCACCTCGTCCGCCATTGCCGGCCGGCGCCGCTAGCTGGCTAGCTGCTCGTCGGAGAAGAAGATTGGAAGAAGAAGCTGGTAGTAATGTGGATCAGTGAAGCTAGCTGCTTCTGCGTTTTGTGTGTGATTTGGAGGTTGTTCAGGTGAGCTTTTATAGGCGATGGAGATGTGTGTGGCTTACGTCAGCAGTGACTGTTATGAGTCCGTTGATTATTCCAAAAAGAGGCTTCCTGGTTCATGGGTGTGGCCTATTTTGGCATATACATATATGCATTTGGATTTTGACAATACAAATGCATAACTAAAATTCGTTATATATTTTTTTGTTAGGATGTTGTACTAGATGGTTCGAGGCAATACAAAATGTACATAACACATACTATGTGCTTCCAAAATTATTTTACACCAAGGATAATAGCCAGAATTTAACACCTCATGAAGTGATTATTACCTATATGCAATGGTGGGAAAAATATTTGTTGCAAACTTTACAACTATCGTAGAATAATAAGAAAATAAAATTTTAAGATTTATCTACGTCACTATAAGGTACTACATGAATAAATCACAGATGATTTTTCTTTAAAAAAAACTCGAATATTAGGGAATGACCTAATATCAAATAATTAGAAGGGGTGAGGCTTTGAACCTAGGTCATCTAGCCCACCATCTTGTGGAGCTAGCCGGAAGACCCTTGGGAATTTCTCAATTTTTCTTTAAAAAAAAACCTACTATAGTTTTTAAATTCACGCTATGATTTACATTATATATTTTCTGCCTACTCTCTATTCCTAGCAAAAGATAAGTAAGTCATGTACTCCCTCCGTCCCTAAATATTTAACGCCGTTTACTTTTGTAAATATGTTTAACCGTTCGTCTTATTCAAAAACTTTTGTGAATATTATTAAAAACTTGAGTAGTAGTAGTATATTTAATAATGAATCAAATGATAGGAAAATAATTAATAATTACTTAAATTTTTTGAATAAGACGAACGATCAAACATGTTTAAAAAATAAATAGCGTTAAATATTTAGGGACGGAGCGAGTATCAGTTTTTTACCTGCTAGGAGAAAATTTACATACAGATTGTTTCTTGCTGTGATATTGCGTCCGCTAATACAGAGTAGGCGGGTGCTTCCTTAATTTTCTTTGTTCTTTTCGACAAGGATATGATATGCTTCATCAAACGTGCACACACGATTACCAAACGCACTCACCCTATCTCTCCGGCAGTCAAGAATTTTAGTACTTAATTTTGGTGTGTGCTTGCAGTTCCAGATTGTTCTCTCATCCTTGACCGCAGCGGCGGCGTCACGGCCTGCGTCACGGTCTGAATTCCCAGCTTGCAATTCGTGGATGTTTTGTTGTGTGATCTGTTCTGCTACCTGTTGCGGTGTTGCCTCCTCCTACCTGCTTCTGTTTTTTTTTTACTAAAGCACGTGTACATCTAAATTGGATCACAAATCTGTACTCTAAAATGGATTAAGAACTCAAGATACCCCAATTACAGTGATAAAATGAGGATGACTTCTGAACTGAACCTCCTGGTATAGCATTCGAGGGCAAATAAGAGTCAAATAATGTGACCAAAGCTACAATGGCTCACAAGCAGGGGAAAATTTTCTTTTCTAATTGTTGCGGTAGATATACTCGATGGTTTCTAGATGGATGGATGAACGAGCTGTAAGAAATCCCATATTACGATCGACTGTTGTGACATTAGGCATGAGCAGGGAGATGACAGGACAATGTTGAATGATCCCCTTTCCTGCTTGCACTCCAAGTAGCATCTCCCAATTCTTCTCTCTCTCTTTTTTTTTCTTTCCTTTTTGGAAACGGCATAGCAATATAGAATCTCCATGGTTTTACATTGGAGATGAACAGTAAATAGTGACAAATATTTAGAACCGAGGTATTCCGAGAACATATCAATTATCTCAAACAATGAAGAAACTTAAAAAAGTAATGCAGATATGCATCAACTAACAACAGGTTACCCTAAGCTAGCCTCAAATCTGACACAAGTTCACTCAATCCGTATGATTGTAATCACCATTCACCAACATGTTCAGGTTCCATGGACAAATGAACCAAGGGTAACATGTTAGAGAAATATGCTAGATATATAGATATATAAGAGGTTGCTAAAGTTAGCGATCACAGAAGCATTGCCGAGCTCCTGTCAGAACCATTCTCGGTTGTTTTCTTTCTAATATACCGACGAAGCTTTTGCATGTGCTGGAGGAAAAAGAAAAGGCATAGCTGTAAGAGCTTGAGAAAGATGCAGCACCAGTCCAATGGCGATCTCTGCTGAAACGACTCTCAACCCACCAATGATCCTAGAAGTTCAGGCTTCAACGAAACCGAAATTTGGTTTGCGTTGTCGTAACGGATGAGGCTTTTATGTTTTCTACGCATAACGAGAGCAATGCAAGATTCAAATCCTTCCTCTGGCAAAATTTCTGCGGATTTTTCAGCATTACAATGCCGCCGTGGCCCGTGGTGGTGACCGGGGTCGCTCATTGCCGGCGCGGCGGAGGAGTCGCGGAGGAATCGCGACGGTGGGTGGTGGAACCGAGCGGGGCCAAGTGTCCTATTGGGCTTTTAGCGTTGGGCCTATCGAAAGTGGCCCTATCCTGCAAGGGCGTTGGGCTGGGCCTGCTCGACAGGCCCACCAAGCGAGACGGCCCACCTTACAATACTGTAGTACTGGCATTTTCCACAGAGAATCCAGCAAAAGCACAAGGGGAGGTGGGCCCAGAGGAATCCCACCTATAACCGCCCGCCACGTGTGGGACCCTCGGCGTCAGGTGGGCCCCACTCTCGCTGTTCCTGTTCGTCCTGCCTTCCCAAAACCGACGACGCTACAGCGGCCGAGCTGACCACCGTACGATACCCCACGGCCCACCCACACCGGCTGACGCGTGGGCCCAGTGAAACCCGCGTGTGCGCGAGGGCCGCGTGCGGCAAGCGATTTGGGTGGGCGCTGGAGGCCGACCTTTCCCCACGCGTGGCCCACGACATTCTACCGGTCCAAGTCGTCCAGCTCAGGCCGGGCCCACTATCCCGATTCCCTGGGGGCGCTTTATTATGCCGTGGCTTTTAGGACCGGATCAGATCGTAGCCAAAATAAACTTTACTAAATTTGACAAGATGATAATATTATTAAAATTTTGGCATGATTTCTTATATATTTACCAAATTTTGCAACAAACTAAACGTAGCCCTTTTTTTTTTGACAACTTTAAAACAAAATGGTATGGTTGAAAATGGCACCAAAGTGAACAGGTCCTTCGTGCGCAAAAATATTTTATAAGCAATATAATACCTGTCACTTCATTATTGCACTTCACTTATGAGTGACACAACGTCGTTGTGAACGCTCCAAACAGCCAAGCACGATATTTGCATTTCGTTTTTACAGAAAAAACAGACCTCATTGAGATTTCTAAGGGTGTAAAACATTTAGCAGAATCTCTTCCCACCAAAATATATCAAAGAATCACAAATTGAATCATGATTATGAAATTAATTAGTACTCCCTCCATCATATAATATCACAACTTATAAATCGTATGAAATACTTTATACTACAACGATTCTAAACAAACCTATGATATACCGTATCAAATTTAATCTTAAGTTCCTATAATGTTCCTATATTATAGGAAAAGCGTCTGAGGGAATATTAGCATACTAACAATAACAATGCCGAGGTCCTATTTGTTTAGACTTATAAGCTGACTTCTCAACAAAAAAAGTCTAAGGTCATCTTTATTTAGATTTATAAGCTAGCTTATGAGTCGAAAAGTCTAACCATACATAAACAAGTAGCTTTTCCATTTCACTTTTTTAAAGTCATAAGCCACTCTTACACTATTTGGAGAAACTTTTTTTTTCTTAAGTGAGGTAGAGTTATAACTTCACCATTAAACTTAGAACTTTAAATCCATTAGCTTATAAATCATATAGGCAAAAAAAAAACTTAAAAACCTAAGCCTAAAAATAATTAACTTTTTCATATGTTTTTAAAGCTATAATATAATATTATGCTGTTAAACCAAAAGTTAGGTACTTAACCAAGAAAGCTAACTTAAAAACTTAATCCAACAGACTTAAACCTAAACAAAAGTTCTTGAAAATCACTTGAGCAATTAAAGGCTAGTTCACTTTGATGCCATTTTTAACCATACCATTTTTTTAAAAGTTGTAAAAAAAATGGCTACGTTTAGTTTGTTGCCAAATTTGATAAATACATAAGAAATCATGCTAAAATTTTAGTAATATTGTCATCTTTCATGTACACAAACCTACACGACCAAATGTGATCTTTCAGAAAATAAGAGGAGAAGCTCGAGTTTTGGTAATTTTGGCTAAATATTTGTTTTAAAGAAAAGGCACCAAGCATTTATATGATTGAAGGGACCTGTGAGATCCGAGGAGTAAATTATTTTCCTATCATCTTGGTAGTTAGGCATACTGTGACAAATGACTTTTTGGCAAGTTAAACTCATGTGTAGTTTAACTGGTTAGACTTTGGTTTCTTGTGGTGGAACTTACTCACCCTGTTTCAAGTAATAGATTTGAAGCGGATGCTTACATCTACGACTAGTTATTCTTTTAGTGATAAACGATATTCCTATCAACAGCGAACCATCCATGATGGCTTCATCAATCTCTAGCCTAGTTTTTCGGAGGTGTCCATAGGGTAGGGTGTAAAAGTGTGAACTTCATCAATCTCAAGATATGCTACATTTATTGTGGTGAGTATGCGCACGTTGTTAGCATTTACGTTTGTACTGTGTCCATAAAAAAAATTAACAGCTTCTTTGGAGCAATGATTAAAAAACACACAAGAATATATTTTTTACTCCACCTTATTCCTATAGGATTTGAAAACATAGAAATATTTATTTAGCGCATTGAATGGTTTTTATGAAACAAACTTATGAATTTTAGAGGCACGTTCCATAGCTATTGCTATAGTTACGCTGCACGTTATGCACGGTTTTGCTGCTTGCTGCTGCAGTTGGCTGCGGCATAGCAAGACAGCAAGCCAAACAGACCATATATTCCTTTGTTCCAAAGAAGCTAACATGAATTTTTTTCGAAGAATTAAAATCCTTCAATTCCCTTTAAAATTCCAAAAATCTTAAGGAGCCCTAATAATTAAGTTTGGTTGCACATACATGACAACTGGTATGTGACGCACAAAGAACCCCACACCAGACTCAGCTTTCATGCATCGAGCTGCTCAATCACACAAATTTTCTCCCCATTTATGAGATATCCCAATCACACTAGTAAATGTTGGTAGTGCCACTACCAATATATAATACAAAACCAACCAATAAATTTAAAATAAAAATTTAAATAAATTCCGCATCGACAGCTCCCCGACCGAGCCAAGATGCGAACAAAAACGCAATCATCAGTCGCGAACAAAAGAAACACAATTGGCTCGAGAGAACGAACAATCAGTGCAGAGCCGAGCCCCCCGCGCTGACGTGGATCCGACGGATCGCGGGATCCCGATCCGACGGCCCAGATTCCCCCTCCCGCTTCTTTTATCTCCACCCCCTCCTCCCAGATCCTCTCCTCCACACACGCTCGCCGCGCGCCCGCACGCTCGCCGTCGCCGGCCGCCGCCTCGTCGTCGTCGTCGGAGAAGGAGGAGGAGGAGGCCGTCTCTCTGCGTTCTGGCTGCTCGCCTGCGTGGTGGTGATGATGGTGGGCAAGAGGGGGAGGGGAGGGAGCAAGAATAACCCGATGAGGCGGACGACGAGCATGACGGAGTTCTCGCCGCCGGACGTGCTGGCGGCGGTGGTGGAGGAGGAGGGTGAGGATCTCGAGGCCATGATGATGGTGGGCCAGCCCGGCGGCGGCGGCGGAGACGGGGCGCAGGACTGGCTGGCGTCGTTCGGCCGCGAAGGCGGCGGCGGAGGAGGAGGAGGAGGCGCGCCGGGGCAGGACTGGCTGGCGGCGTACCGCGCGCGCGCCGCGCCGGCGAGGGCGGGGCTGAGGCGGAACTCCGCCGACTACTGCTCCGTCGAGACCGCCTCGTTCCTCCGCTCCTGCGGCCTCTGCCGCCGCCGCCTCGGCCCCGGCCGCGACACCTTCATGTACAAGTACGAACACCTCCTCCTCTTCTTGTTCCTCCATGAATTCATCCATGGCGCCCGGCTAACGCACGCACTGTGTGCTTCGCAGGGGAGAGGCGGCGTTCTGCAGCCTGGAGTGCAGGCAGCAGCACATGACGCAGGAGGAGTGGCAGGACAAGTGCGGGGTGACGTCCATGAAGAAGGAGGCGCCGGCGCCGCCCAACGGCCGCCGCCGCTCCAGCAAGACCACCACCAGCGGCGGCACGGTGGCGGCGGCATGATCGATCGATAGCCACCACAGCCTCTAGCTACCTAGCAAGAACGCCGAGCTCATCAGCATCACACACCTAAGTATACTACAAGCTACAACCACCATGCACACGGCTCAATTACGACGACGACGACGACGACGAAGAAAGCAAAGCAAGAATCGATTATTAATCCACCATTATTGTATGGTTCGATCGATCGATCCATCGATCTGCCTTTAGAGAGATACCATTAGTTTTGATCAATCCATGTATGTATCACCTGATCAGTACTTGGATCGATCGAGATGTTAATTAGTTGCAGAGTTCTTGCCGATCAGTGATGATGGGTTGATAAATTGATTAATTGATCGATCATATATAATGTTGTGGGGAATCTATGGCCTCCTGGAACAGAGGAATTTCATATGAATTTTGTGAGAATTGGACTTTTTTTTTTGAAAAAAAAAGCTATATAAAAGGTTCTTAGAGTTAGTGGTGCAGATTGTTCGTCTACAGTTTAAGCACGAAGAATCGATCGATGTCAAATAAAAAAGAAAAGAAAACAGAAAGAGAAAGCTTGCGATTCTTCCTTAGTTGTATCTCTACGTGTTCATGAGACGGCCACCAGCTTGAGCCACTGAACCATGTCATTAAGGTGATTAAGCCAATCCCGTGATTTTCTTAAGTACTAGTATAAAGCTTGGTAATTAAGCTCTCTAGCTATGGATGCTGGTCACATGGATACCGATGTGGCCATTACTGCTAAGAAGCCACTTGCCTGCAGCTGCAGGTGACAAGCTGAAGTAAATACAGAAATGCTAACAACTCTCGTTATTTTAATGTGCAAGTACAAGTTGGTACATCTCCAGAATCAGGTTTCAGTGAAAGAAAGTACTCCTACTACTTGTGCGTCCGCATCTTTAATCAGAAGCATCGGTTCTGAAGTTCTGATCAGTCTGAAACTCACATCATACGAAGCAATTACTAGTTAATTTGAATTTAAGATTCAGTTATCACAATCTTACTACTAGTATTATTTTGCCCACATGTGATTAAATATATACTACCTCTGTCCCAAAATATAAATATTTTTAGCTGATTCATAGCCAAAAGTTATTATATTTTAGGACGGAGGTAGTATTATATATAAGCCGTAACCTACAGCTAATTATAACCCGTAACCGCTTATTAGAAATAAAATTATGCGTAAACTTTTATATATATGTTCTTAGTAGGCTCAGTTCAGCGGTGGGAGATTGTGAGTTTGTTTTGTTTTTCATACGCACGCTTCCTGAACTACTAAACGGTGTATTTTTTTTAAAAAAAAATTCAATAAAAAAATTTCTTTAAAAATCATATGAATCCATTTTTGAAATTTAAAATAGTTAATACTGAATTAATCATGTGCTAATGGCCTACCTCGTTTTACGTATCTTCTCAATCTCCTGTTCTCATCTCATCTCAATCAATCTTCTGTTCTCATCTCACCTCAAACACAGCTTAAAGGTCAATATAAAAGAATAAGAATTTTTTTTTCATGATTTTTGAGATTGTACGTGTACATACTAAAATTTTACACTTAAAATTTTGGTAAATCAAGCTATCCAAGACTTGGAGATACCAAGTTTTGCACTGAAAAATATAATATCTCTCGATACCTTGCTAATTAGGACAGTAAGGTTAACTAAAAAATAATGTACAATGACAAAATATCGGAAATAACTCTAAGAGAGATTTGAAATTTAAATTTTAGATGCAACTGAAATGCTGAACAGTATGTACTCCTACGTGCTTATACATTGATAGTATTTTTTTTTGCTTCTCCCTGAACGAATTTTTACTGCTAGAAGAGGCAAGGTAGCCGTCATGCCTTTGTCTCTCTATATATATGGTGGTACGGCCGTCGATGTGGACACCTAATTTGTGAAAATGCTAAGTGCAGGTTAACGCTTTTGGGCTATTTGGTGCTCCTGCCGTACGCCGATCGATCGGCTACCCAACCAAAGAAGCAATGTTCCGTTGTTGTTGAGACAGGTTCCAAAGCATTTATTTTGCATGATTCTGATGGACCTGTTTTACTTTCTCAGATGGCGCGATTGCAAATTTAAGTTGATTTGGACTTTCTGATTTGAAGCTTTAGACTTTTTAAACACTGTACTACAGAAATATTTTTTATATACAATAATCCCTATAGATTGTAGACGGACCGTAACTGATCACGCCTGCAAAAATCGATTTTTATTTTCGCACATGGCTCCTTAAGAGGCCCGCATGTAAAAAATCTATTTTCGTAGACGAACCACTTAAAGGGCTACACACAAAAATAAGTATATTTTCCCACGCGGTTCACTTAAGGGGCTGCGTACAAAAATAAATTTTCATATACGGGCCTCTTAAGTGGTCTGCATGCGAAAATACTCCTCTTTTGCACATATATTTTTTCCTCCTCTCTCTTTTCCTTCTCACCATTGTAATTTTTTTACCTATTCTCGCCTCTCTCTCTCTTCCTCTCCTCTCCTCTCTCTTTCTCTCCTCTCATCACCGAGCAGGAGTGGGCGCCACCACCCCGCCTTGATCCGGCGGCCCGTCCCTGCGTGGATTTGGCGCTGGAGACGACAGTGGGTGGTGGGGCGGCAGATCCAGCGCTTGCAATGATGAAGGGTGGTGGGGGCGGCGGATCCGGTGCGGCGATGACGGCGGGCGGCGGCAGCGACGCCGCCGCCCCACGTAGATCCAATGCTAGCGACAATGACGAAGGGCAGTAGGGGTGGTGGATCCGATGATGACGACGATGGCGGGTGGCGGGGATCCGGCCAACGATAGCGGCGGGCTAGAGCTTTGACGATTTGGGTTTTTATTTTTATTTTTTTGCCGAAATTATTTTTGCATGTGGCCGGTATAGTGACTGCATGCGGTTGCGCTGTCCGCATGCCAATGCAATATCTGATTTTCATAGATCTTTTGGCGCATGCGTTTGCGCTGACCACATGCAAAAATCACTTTTTGCCGCATATAGAAAGAGATTCTATAGTAGTGAAATTTTACAAATATCTTTTTAAGATAATTCAGATATTTTATTGATCGCACAAGAAGTACTTGCATCCTTGATCCCCTGTGGTAAAAGCAGTTGACAACATTTTGTTAATTCTTTCCTTAGTTTATATTTATATTTTAAGTCGTTTTGACTTTCTTTCTAGTATTTTTTAAGTTTAATTATAAAAAGTTTAGCCTATCAAATTAGTTTCATTAAAATGAACAATTAATATGTTTTGATAATATGTTTATTTTGGGTTAAAAATATTGCTACACTTTTTTATAAGCTTTATTAAACTTGAAAAAAAATTATCATAAAAAATTCAAAATGATTTTTAATATGAAACGGAACGAGTAAGTAAAAAGCCTCGAAGGAGTAATGGAAGGTGACTAGACAAACCCATGTCTCCTAAAATTTAAAGTACTAACAAAGCCCATGCCTAGTTCACTATTCAAATAAGAAACTTTTTAAGCAATATACTACCTTATTAATTTGGTAATTGGATACTGTCAGTATTAGCGTATAAATATCATTTTGAATATGCAAATGTATGAACTGAGGATTGGTGAAACCCCTACCCTCATTTTAGAATTTTAAAAAAAGAACAATATCACTGTAATTCACATAAAAACAACCATACTTTTTAGGATTGGTATAGTTAAAAAAAAACATCACGACCAGCTATTAACACACACTAGACGCCAACCCGTGTGTTCGTTGTTATTGTTGATAAAAATTAGCATACATTTGGCAATGAAGTATGAGGATCAAGAGTATATCCCTGTATATAACGTGATGGTGACGTATATATAGGGGATTGATAATAATAGTTCACTATTCTCTTCCTTGCAAACTCTTAATTATTCTGTGCCATGACCAGCCTAGACAATGGGACATCACCTACTAGCTTATTTCTATTTTCACAATAATTTCTAGCAGACAGGAACAGCTATATGGCGCATATGGCCATCGAGCCTAGGCAGCTGCCCAGCCAGGCTAGAAGCTGGTTTCGATAGTGTGACCAAAACCAATAATTTGCTTCATGCATAAAAAATAGAGTAAAACATTTTTCCTGAAGTAACTAAACATTTTAACTTACTAGCAACTTTTTAAACCTCATGCATGAATGCGCCTCTATTGAGAGTGTTTGAGATGATAGGAAAGGAGAAGATTGACAAGATACACAAAACAAAACAAGGTGACACATTATAGCCTATCAAGGTGACAAGAAAATAATTAATTGAGTATTAATTATTTTAAACATCAAAGTGGATTAATATAATTTTTTAAAATAATTTTCCTATCAATTTTTTAAAAAAACATTCTTTAACAGTTCGGAAAGTAAACGCGTGGAAAAATGAGACTTTTTCTCTCTTTGTTCCTCTCTAGAGGTAAAGAAAAAATACACAGCCCATTTACACACACCACGATAACAAACAAAACGACAACATCAAACCCCATTTGGTCCCTTGATTTGTCTTCAAGCCAAACAAATTAAAAACCAATGCCAAAGTACCAAAACAAGAACACATGTTTGAACCCGGGAAGAATGTGCACAAAAGTGCACAATCACAACTGGATCGCGAGGTCGATCTCTCATCACTTGCTCACTAGCCAGTAACCACAAAAAACCCATACATTTCAGTGCTCACGAGTGGTCCGTCGCTTTGGATGGATCCACTCGCAGCCAACCACGAGAGGAGCTTAGCCCCAGGCCAGCACAAGCAGCACCGTCCAGTTGTACCGCGTCTCCATGCGCACGCACGCGCAGGACAGGCTAAATTCCTCCCAAAATTCGTCACACCCAACGCCTCCCATTTGCTCCCTTCCCCTTTTACATTTTTCTCGTCTCCATCTCCCTCTTTCCATGGCTAAAGAGAGAGAGAAAAAAAAAGAGGAAATGGTATAATATCACACATGAGAGCCAAAAGGAAAAGGAAAGGCCATGGCTTTGGAAAGGAAACTTTACTGTTTTTTTTCTTCTTCTTTTCATTCTCTCTTTCTTTGCAAAAGTTCTGTGACGTGCTCTTCCTAGCTATTTAGTGGCTAGAAGAGGTGCATGGCATACGAAAGTTGAGGGGTGATTCGTAATATGAAGCTACCAGGAGCTCGAATCCATGCATATGGGTCCTCCTCGTTAAAAAAGGCGATTCCTAGGGTTTGCTATGTTAGTTAGCTAGATAAGCTCGGATCAGGCTTGGCCGATCCAGATCAGGCTTTGCCGATCCTCATCCATGCAGTAACAAACTTGGTTTGTTATAGATATGCTTCTGTTAGGTAGTTTGTTACTGCATATATCGTTTCTTTCATGTAATCCGGCTGGGATTGTTTCCTGGCCGCGCTCTTCTGTACAAAGCCACGACGGGGGCTTTTCCCGTCAGATATATATAACACGT